AAAAAAAAAAAGACAATAACAACGATAGTGATATTGTCATTTTCGCACTTATGCAACATATCATTGTTTCACTTAACAGTTTCCGTACACAACAACACATCACACAGAACAAACCTTTGATCCATTTTTTTTGCCACATCATCAAAAACAATACGTGTTGCTTTTCTCGTTTTTTTTTTTTCTTCTTCTCACCATCATCACTTTCCCTTCCCTTCCTCCTTTTTTTTCCAATCTAATTTTTCCTTGTTTCCTCTTTTATGCATTCATATCGATGCTTCAACATCAGCAATCCAATAATTTCAATACCCATTTTGCTCCCTAATGTTACCAAACCATCTATCTATTTTCCATTAACAAGTTGATATTTATAAAAGGCTAAATAGTTCCTTTTCTTTTAAAAGAAAATCTGTACTTATAAAAAACAACTAAGATTTTTGTTAACAGACTTAAAAAACTGCTCGATTAGCGCCAATAACTTTTCACTCGAAAAAAAAGCAAAAAAAAAAAACTCGTTTACTACCGCGTGGCAAAAATTTTTGAGAAATGAGAAACTTTCAGAAATATTTCTTATTGAACGAATTTTTAAAAAGCTGCAAGACAGTTTCCAATCTATCCCTTCAATAGGACGATTTGAAGTTGCAACAGGCTCCATTACCAATTATAAATTTTTATTGGAAATTCATATGCACTTTCAGTCTTGTCAGTTTTATTCTTCAAGGAGCACGTTATACAACTTAACAAAACATACCTTAAATTTCTAAACCCAAAAATTAGCCTCAACTGTTGCTCAAACTTGTAACACTGAGCACGATAATCTCGAACAAAGAGGAAACAATAAAAAAATAAAAATAATATAATGCCTTCTCAAATATACCCCTAATTTTTCCCAGCTAAAATAAAAGTATGAAACTCTGATCATAGCGCAATTTCGATGACATAATACCGGAAGCTCTGTCAAAAAGTTCATTGAGAAAGGTGACATCCTTATCTGAATTCGTGACAATCTTCAGAGTGTAAATTTGCAAAATATATTAAAAAAAAATAATATAATATAATATAAAGTTGAAGTACTCTAATTCAAAAAGAAAATAAGGAACAGAAATCAAAACAAGAAAAAAGACTGCAATCAAACATGAATCAATTCAGCGATAATAACTGTCATATTGTCGCAACCCGTCCCATCGCCTGCTGTATTAGGAGATAAACATTCATCACACATCTAAAACAGTCGAACATTACAACCAGTACCGCTGACCCAATGTCGTCAAAACTGCATAGAAAAGATCTTAGCTTTGAAAAAGAAAAACTTGCTTTCTCGCAAATATCTTTCAGAGACAAACCGGTAGCCAACCTAGTACGAACAAAATCTACTACTTCCTGACTTGATAAAGAGTTCCTGAAAGTAAATCAACCGTAACACACATCTGACACCTTATTTATAAAATGCTAACCAAAAAATAGATTTTGGAAAAACGTATGAATTAGTAGACTTAATTAACACAGAGGGCGCTATGGTAATTAACTAGTAAGATACCAAATTCCATCGCAGGCAACAACAACGAACTGGTCATCTGGTTCAATGTTATGCTCAGTGACATCTGGCTGAGCGGAGATCATTTGGTCCTTGAGAGGCAAATTACTATTCTTTTTGTAAAAATGGTCACCA